ACCTGTGATATTTGACCACAATTCTTTGTTGACACCAAAAAATATGTTCTTTTAAGCAGGGCTGACTTTAAGAGACGTGTTGCATCAGTGAGGTCGGTGCTCCAGCTGCTCACACACAGAGTTTTGCTCTTCTAATGTGGATTTCTCTTCCTGGGTGCTCCGGGAAGAGTTTCTTTTCTGTCTCAGCATCTTCATCCAGGCTCCGTTGAGATAATTTCTATTTAATTTGAAGTTCCAGCAGCTCCTTCATGCAAAGGCAGAGAAACTCACCCGATTTTGCTCATCTCAGCAGCCCATCAGCTCCAGCCCAGCCTGTGCAGGACAATGGGAAATTGGGTGATGGGTTCTGAGGATCACCCTGTGTCTAAATGGGTCTTTTTGCTGCATGAAACGCTGGAGTGGCAGCGTTTAAAATGACTGCAGGAGACAGGTAGAGATCTTCAAGTATCGGATTCTGTGTCACTTCGCTCAGCCGTGATTGATGAACTTTCACAAATGCGCTGTCAGAGCTTGAGCTGCTGGGGGAAATCTCGCCTTGCCTTCTCTGCGCCAAAATGCAGCCTTAATTTCGTGTTTTGGGCAAAACCAAACCACCCAGGAATGAAAAATCGGACTCCAGCCTGAAAGCCCATCCTTTCTCTCTTTGGAGTGGCATTTTAAAGGTGTTGATTCTTCTTAATAATCCCCATTAACAAGAAATCACTTACTGCTGATACTGATCTAAACTGATGTCAGTGAGATGAATTAGGGGCTGGGGAGAGAGGCTTGTTGATCTGTTGTTTTCCTGCCGAGCTTCCCAGGAACATTGGAACACTTAATTCCTGCCAGCACCGTGTCTTGTTTTCAGACTCCAGAGAATAACTTCCGACGTGAAACCCCCTTGAATTTAAGTAATAAAATTCCGGCACTTTAGGAGCTGCACGGGTGGGGTTTGGTTTTATTTTGTTTTGCGGGTTTTTTTTGGGGGGGGGTTATTTTTTTTGGTTTTTTTTGGTTTTTTTTTTTTTTTTTTTGTGTGTGTGTTTTTATTTTTTGGTAGTTTTTGGTGGTTTGTTTTGGTTTTGGTTTTGTTTTTTTTTTTTAAACAGTAACTTCAGTTCCTACTGCCACAGGCAGGGGATTTGGTATCAGTCCTTTACAGCTGACAACTTGTTCCTGTACAAATTCAGTGAATTCCAAAGGGTTTGGATAAACTTGCCATGTGCAGTTTGTCTCAAGAAGACTGAGCTGCTCTCACCCTGTCACCTTCAGGTGGAGCTGGAGCACTGAATTCTCCAAAAAAAAAAAAAAAAAAAAAAAAAAAAAAAAAACCAACAAAACTGGGTTTGAACAGAGCCGTGAACGCCAGTACCAGGCTGCGTAATCCCCAAAAAAACCGAGGGAAGAGCGAGATCAAATCCAAGTGCAAATCTTATGAAAAGCTTTTCCCCTACACCCTCAGCATGCCCCCGGGCACTGGGAGCATCCCTGATTTCAGATTCCCTGGGGAAACGCCAGGATCCCGCACTTCCCTTTGGATCAACCTTTCCTCAGCACAGCCCCACAGGCTGATCTGGGGATGGGAAACGCTCCAGGCTCAGCCAGGACCGGGGCAGATTTGAGATGTGCGGTTTTTGGAGCTTTTCAGAGGGCTGGGCTCACAGAAGCACAGCCCCGGGGCGTCTGGAAGTCCTTTTGCCCCTGCCTGACCCTGTGGGCTGAGCTGCTGTGGAGCTGCAGCTGGAAATGAGGTCGAGCTGGAATAGGAGAAATGGGGTCTGTGGGCACAGGGACCCCCCTGACCGGTATCAATGTCCTGATGCCTTGGGAAGGCTGGCCTAGAACAGAGGCTGGGCAGAGCTAAAGAATAAAGCAGGGATTTATTAAAAGGATCTCCTCAATGGATCCACCTTGGACAGCACAAGAGCCCGGCCAGGGCTGCACCCAAGATAAACCAAAATGGTCACAAAAAGTACCCAAGATCAACCAAAATGGTACAAAATGAACCCAAGATGAACCAAAATGTCCCAAAATCCCCAACAGCTCCCAGGGGCTCTCACTTTAAGTTCTGCTCCATTTGTACATTGGAGTTCATTGTCCAATTCCAGCTTTAGCCCAGGCAGTCCCATCCTGCTTGTTTTTCTCTCTCCAGCCCACGGTGTTTGTGCTCTTGGGCTGAGATTTGGATCATTTGTCCTTGGTGCCCAGCTGGAGCAGGAATTGTTTTGTCCCCCTGCTCTGTGCAGAGAACTCACCATGCCCTGATATGAATCCCAGACCCACAGACTAAAGCAGCACAGAGTGTGAAAAATAGAAAAGCCAAAACCTGAGGCATCAGGTCATTCCTGCTCTATCTCCTTGCACTTCCCATTCACCCAGCTAATGAAGAAGGTCTGTACCGTGGCTGCTGTGCCCTGGCAGCGCTGCCCGCTGGCCTCAGCCAGCTGTGCTCCTGTCCTCTCCTAAATCACTTTCTGAGCCGGCTCCAAGGCTCCAGCTGCTGCTCCGAGCCCCCTCTCACCCTGCCCTGCATCTGCTGAGATGCAATTCCCGCAGACCAGGGCAGCCTGGGGAGGAGGGGAGTGTGTGAGCAGGAGCTGTGGGACATCCATCCCTGCTGGGAATGAGCACAGGGCAGTCCTGGAAGTCACACCAGACCCAAAGCTGGTGCCCAGAGCAGCCACTGCAGGGAAAATCCCACCTGACAGTCAGATTTCTTGATAGCTGTAGCTCCGAGTCATTACTAGAGGAAAATAAGCATGTGTGGGGAAAATAACGGTGTCTGAGGAGAGGAAAGGATGTGGGGCATGTGTGAAAAGGGTTCTGTGTTACTACGGGGAGTTACTTTTTCCTGTGGCTTTTTTCTGAAGTTTCACTGCTATGTTTTGTTTGCCCACTTACAGAAGGGCTCTGCTTAGGGCCAGTTTCTGAAAGTTTAGGTTTCAGTTAACTCTGAATGCCTGCCCCCATGTTAACTCAGGACTTGTCCTCCTTTTGAGGGCTCCCCATGTGCTCTGCCCCTGGCCGGGTTCTGCAGCGGTGACAGCAGGAGTGGCACGGTGGCACCCGTGTGACATTGGACAGCTCAGGCAGACTGTGGCCCCCAAGTGTGACTGCCCCACCATCATCACTTTAAACCCGGCTTCCTCCTGCCACACTCCAGATTTTCCTGGAGTTCTTGGGACACCCGTGGCTCTCTTCAGCCAGGGCGTTTCCCTATTGCTCTGCTGCTTCTCTCCCATCTGGATGCTGTGTCCTCCTAAGGCAAAGCCCTCATGGAGCCTTGGATGGCTCCAGCCGAGGTGAAGTGGCCTTTGCTTCCTCCTGGCCAGTCCATCTGCCCTGTCCCCCTGCTTCGGGTCCCCTTTGTCACAGAGCCCATGTCCCGGTGGCTGTGTGGGTGAGGTCCAGAGGCAGATTCCCCTCGGGATGAGGCTGAAGGTCCCTCTTTGCCCAGCCCTGAGCCCCAGTCGGGTGTCTACACTCCACCCTGCAGAAGGGGCTCGGTGGGCAGGGAGTGGAAGGAGGTGGGAGCTCCTTATCTGTGCAATCCCACCTCGGGGGCTGTGTGGGGTTGGGAGCGAGGGAGAGAGGCTGCAGGCAGCTTCCATTCCCCGGCAGCCTTTCATCCTCTGTCCCAGGGCCACAGCCACCCTGTCTCCATCCCTGTTTACTGATGGGGCCGATAGGGCCGAGGCAGGAGGGGTTGCAGGTCCCCCTAATCGCCCTGTCACCGGCCGGACAGCCTCAGACACTCTCAGAGGATGTTGTGACTGCGCTGAATTACAATGTTTGTTGTTTCTCACTCCCAATAATTGACATTTGATAGCGACTACCGTAAAAGCGGCCGAGGGGCTGGGGCTGAGGCAGAGGGGAGGCAGGAGCCGGGCGCTGGGGAGCCCCGCTCGCTGTCCCTGGGCAGTCTGGGGACAGGCGGGGTGTCCTTCGTGCCTCTCCCCATGGGGACAGGATATGCCGGAGCTGTGGAAACCTTCCGCGGATGGGTTGGGGGCAGTTTGGGGGCTTTGGGTTACGACTTGGGGTGTCGATACTTCTTCTCGCAGCGACTTCTGCGCAGAAAATTACAAATCAGCCCCGCGCTCCCGGGAACGATGAGGTCGGTCCCGATCCCAGCCCGGGGGCACGGGCCAAGGCTGGGGGCTGGAAAAGCGGCTTTAAAATCATTTTTAAAATACCTTGAAATACAAACACCGTTTGCAGGCGGCAAAACGGGAAGGCCAAGCTCACGGGAGAGCCGCACAAACCCGCGTGGGGGTCCCGGGAGAGCCCCCGGGCCGGGCGGCCCCGCTCCCGGCGTGTCCGGGATGCGCAAGAACGCCAGGGACGCCGAGGTTCAGCCACTCTCTTTAATGACAACTCGCTGATCTCCGTCAGCTTGTACAGCAAAGGGCAACACGTAGGAAGGGGCATTTCCATGCTAACTCACGTTTTAGTGCAGAACCCTAAGGGACCTGGCGGGCCGGAGTGTCTGTGTCCCTCGGGAGTCTGTCTGTCCTCATCCCTGCCCAGGCCGGCAGCAGCAGCCTCGCAAGGGACACCTGGGGGTGCCGAGATGCCGAACTGACCGAATAGCGGGAAGTGCAAAAATTAAATGTGGATGTCAATAATAATTAATATAGAGTAGAAGTTAAAAAAAAAAAAAAAAAAAAAGAAAAAAAAAAAAGAGAAAAAAGAGTTTCAGGGCTTGGCTGGGTGTTGTTGCGAACAAATCACGCTAAATTACCGGCTGGTTTGTAGGAAGGAAGGAGGGGAATTATCAGGGTGAAGGGGAGCCAGAGGGGCTGGGAAATACGGGCATCCCCCTCTGGTGCTTGCCTGGCCCCGCACAAAATACCGAAACCCGCCCGGTCCACGGCCACCACAGCGGTGAGATCCGCCGGGATGCTCCACTGAACCGAACACTGAACCGAACACTGAACCAACCGAGCACTGAACCGTCCCCAGGTCCCGCAGCCTGGAAATGTCCCGAGCCCGGCTCGCAGGCTGCGGGCGGGGCGGCTCTACCAGGCTCGGATGCCGTGCAAGGTGGAGATGCCCGCGTTGCCCTGCGGGATGGGCGTTTGCACCGAATTCAAGTCCCCCACGCCGAAGTTCATGAAGTTGTTGGCGGGCGCCGAGGGCTGCATGGGCTGCATGGAGGGGTAGTTGCAGTTGTAGTTGGCGTTGCTGTTGTAGTTGGTGTACGCGGGGTAGGCGTTGTAGCTGTAGGGGTTAATGCTGACATTGTAGGGCGAGCTGTAGGGGGAAGATTCCCCCAGGCAGGGCTTCCCATCGCGCACCAGCACCGGCACCGCGATCCGCCGCGGGGGAGGGATCCCCACCATTTCCAGCGTCTGGTCCTGTCTCTGCCTTTTGCATTTGTACCTTCGATTCTGGAACCAAATTTTCACCTGGGTGGAGGTGAGCTTTAGGACGTTCGCTAGATGGTCCCTCTCGGGGGCCGAGAGGTATTTCTGCTGCTTGAACCTTCTCTCCAGTTCGTACACTTGGGCTTGAGAAAAGAGGACGCGAGGTTTCCTCCTTTTCCTCTGTCTGGGGCGCTCGGGATCGTCCAGGTCTCTTTTCTCCTGCTCCAGGCTTTTGTGCAGGGAACACAGCTCTGCAGCAAAATAAACGGGCGAAGGAAAAAAGCAGAAGGAGAAAATTGTGGGAAAATATTATAAATCAGTATTTAATACAGGGGGTACAACGTGAGCGAGCCTTGGCTCTTGCTCAGCCTCACAGGCCGCTGTGGCCACCCGCTCCTGCAGCAACGGGACCGGCTCTGCCCCGCTCTTTAGGTACCTCTGCACTAAATTTTCCATCTTTTTTTGTTTGAAAACAAAAAAAAACGCGAGTCTCGCCCGCCTCTGCGGCCAGGCTCGCAGCTTTATGCCGAAACTCTCCGCAAGCCCCGAGCGAGTCAGGAATCACATTTGTCACCCGGTTTCTATCCAAATTCGAGGCCTGGCGTGTCACCCTGCAGCTCTGCCCGTCCCCTTGGGGTCTCCGGGCCGGGCTCAGCGGGACCCTCGGGGACGGGACGAAGATGCTGCCGCTCCCCCAGCGCAGCCCCGCACTGTCCCCTGTCCCCCGCAGCCCTGGGGACCCCCGGCCGAGCTGCCACCCCCGCTGGGTGTAATTACCCCCGTATTTCAAGGTATTTTAAAAATTATTTTAAAGCCGCTTTTCCAGCCCCCAGCCTTGGCCCGTGCCCCCGGGCTGGGATCGGGACCGACCTCATCGTTCCCGGGAGCTCAGGGCTGATTTGTAATTTTCTGCGCAGAAGTTACTGCGAGAAGAAGTATCGACACCCCAAGTCGTAACCCAAAGCCCCCAAACTGCCCCCAACCCATGTTCCCCTGGCCTGCCGTGCCCTCCCAGGCAGCAGCGCTTGGCTTTACCTTTCCTGTCCGTCTTGGCCTCCTTGGCCGAGTCCATCTCCGCGTAACTTTTCACGTAGAAGGAGCCGGGGAAGGCGGCCGCGGTTTTTGGGGGGGGCGGCTCGGGCAGCTCCTCCCGCAGGTCGGGCAGGGCCGGGGGGTCGGTGCCGAACCCCTCCTGCTTGAAGGCGGCCAGCATGCAGGACGGGGAGGCCAGAGCCGCCAGCTCCATGGAGCCCAGGCCGCTCTGCTGCTGCTGCTCCAGGTTCAGAATATCCTTCACCGAGAAGGGGGTGGTTGTCACAGGGCTAGGGAACATTGCGGAGGACAGCGGGGCAGCGGCCGCAGCCCAGGGTCATGGAAAAGAAGGTGGGCAGCGGGCAAGGTGGAGCGGCGGTGGAGGGTGGGCTCCCGGAGGGGGCACATAGCATTCCCCAGAGCGGCCCTGCCTGTGCCCTGCGCCAGGTAGGAGCGGACCATAAGGCGAGGGAAGGAGGGACTAGGCAGTTTTTGGGTGACTTTAGCTTTCTATTGGCCAACATTGCCGTGATGGTATGAGAGATGCAAAGTTCCATGTCACCTAATATAGTAATACATCTCAAAAACAGCTCCGCTCTTTTAAAGGGGCGGCACTGCATTTATCCAGCTTTGCAGAGGAGGGTTTGTTCATCCATTTGAAACAAAAAAAAAAACAACCAAAAAAAAACCCCAAAAAAACACCCCAAAAAAAGAATAGCCTAATGCGTACAAACTCACTGTCTGATGCTATCTATCATACAGTCAGATTAAATAAACAGGCCGGGAGGAAACCATCAACCAAATATGTGCTGATTTAATTTTTTTTTTTTTTTAGGCGAGAGAACGGAGGTTTCGTTTTTAGTAATCCGATGGCAGGAACTAAAAAACGGGAGTTCACTGCTGTGCGAAGCACGCTCAAGGGGAAATCCGCGCTCAGGGTTTATAGAGATTTTCTAAAGCAGCACAGTGATTGCAAAGTCCAGCTGAGAGCAGAGAGACCCTGAGCAGCCCCTGCCTGGCTTTGGAGAGGGAAATGCCGATTGGGTTTTCCTCTCGTTTGTTTGTAAAGTTTTCAAACAAAAAATGCAGCGCTGTCTGGGGAGAAAAAAAAAATAAATTAAAAAGTCAATCCAAGACAAGCGCGGGTGAAGGTGTTGCAAAATCCACAGGGGTAAGAGAGAAGTAAAGCAAGGGGCCGGGTCCCCGCAGCTCGGGTGGGCGCACGGCCCCGGGTTCCTACGGCTGAGGTGGGGCTCATTCAATTAACTCGCGTGGAGCCGCTAAAACAAACCTTCGGGGCTTTGTGGGTTAGAGGGGTGAGAAAACAATTAGAAATAAATGAAGAATCTCCTTTAACGCTCCAGCGCCCGGCTGAGAGAGGCACGGGACGCGCTCGGTGGGAGCAGGACAGAGAAACCCTAAAGGGCTGCGGTGATTTTGGGGGGCCGTGGCTGAGCAAATCCTTTCTCCTCCCGCAGGAAGGGACCCTCCGGGGCGGGTGGAGAGGTGAGCGCCTGCCCACCCCCAGCAGGACGGACCCGCCGCTGCCCCCCGGGATTTTGTGTCGTGGCACCCCGGCTCTTTTCCCAGGAGGTGAATTTGGGATGTTTTTGCGGGCGGTGCTGCCCGGAGCCGCAGCATCCCCGGCGCTGCAGCCGCTGGGCTGTGTTGGGAGCGCTTTGCTGGAGAAGCAGCCCCGGATCTGGTGCGGACAGTCGGAGCGATCCCTGGGAACGGGGGAGGCCTGAAATATTGCGATTTAATGAGGGGAGGGGTCGGCCAAGCGGCCAGCTCCATCCTCGCGGCTGCGTTTCCTGCAGCCTTCCCTGGGAAATGATCCAGGGGATGGATGTGGATGCTCCCCTGCTGCAGGAGGAAGGGTGAAGTGGCCCGGGAATGTGGAGGCAGCCTCGGAGAGGGGCCTGTGAAGGTACTTTGCAGAGTGTTTGCGGCACCCCCGGCCCTCCGCGGGCTTTCTGAACCTCGTTACCTCCTTTTTATTACAAGCTTAGAGGGATAGGTTGGATAGGGGCTAAAATAACGAAGCGATCCCGATCCTCCCCAAACCCACTTCGCCTCGGCGTCATCCCCATCCTGCGGGATGGGAGAGGCGCCTTCCAGCGCTCCCTTCCTTTATCCCGGGCCAAAACGGAGGCAAAACTCCCTTCCCGGGTCAGGCTCGGAGCTCGCAGGGCAGTTCCTGCCCCGGAGGTTTCTCGGTGCCCGGGGACCCCGGCGGGGCCCGGAGCGCATCCCGGCGGGGCGGGAGCTGCCGCCGCCGGTCCGAGATGAATTGAGGATTGCCGGGCTCCCTCCAGCCCCCCGCTCACACGGCGGCTGCCGATCGATGTGGGCCCGGCTGCAGAGGGTGGAAGTGATTAATTGAACGATAAGCCGGAGCTATCATTTGGAATGTCATTAATGCGTCGGGGAGACATTCATTGGAGACAGACAGCGTTATCTCCGCTTTATCTTCAACAATGCATCACTTTTAATACTGCAGTTTAGAAACAAATGGGGGCTTTAGCCTTAGCCCTTCTCTTGGTGTTTATATTTTTGGAAGAATCACAACTAGTGGGAGTCCCGGGCTCGGCCCCCTGATAAATGAACATTAGCACTTTTTAGAACTACTGTATCAACAAAAAGAGCTGCAGGGCCGCAATAATTGGTGAAAAAGCAAACACTCGGCAAAGAGAGGCCAGCTCTGCTCTGTGTCCGGCTGATTGATGAATAAGTTACTGACGTACAGCAGCTCACGGACTTTCCGGGTCGGGGCTCAGCACCCATCCTCCCCCTTTCCCACCCCTCTCTCCCTTTCCAGCCCGCTGAAGGCAGGCTCCGGCTGTCCAGCGGAAGGGACAAAGGCGACAGCTTCCCCCAGCTCCGGACACTGCTCCCAGCCCGCAGGGTCCTGCCCAGCCCGGGGGGACCCGCCCGGGTGTCCCCGCGGGTGGGGACCCCGAACTCGCCCGCATCACTTTTAACTTTTGCGGACTCGTTTTTGATCGCGTTTAAATAACATCAAACAAGAAGAAAAAAAAAAAAAAAAAAAAAAAAAAAAAAAGAGAGAGAAAAAAAAAAAAAAAGGGGGTAAAGCGAGCCAGGACCCCGAGGAGCGCCCTAAAACACTTTCTGCAAACTCAGGCCCCAGGGGTGTAAGTGGGCGAAATAAAGGGAAAAAACCCGCTGCTATTTTTTCTGGCTGCCAGGGGAAAGTGGGGATGTCCTGTTCTGTCCCCCGCTGGCTTCACTCTGTTTGCAGGTTGCTCTCGCTGTCCCCTCGGGACTGAGCCTGCCCCGGCCTCTCGCAGGCAAGGGTTGTCGTCCACACTCGCTCGTTGCTTCTCTCCGGGATTGCTAAAAGAGATTAATGTTGGGTTTAGTGTGGGTTTTTTTTCTTTCTATTTTTTCTTAAAAAAAAAAAAAAAAAAAGACACCAAAAGCTTTTCTTGCTGAAACCAACCAAACAAAGAGAAAAAAATTCCCAACCCCGCAATTAGCTCCAGAGGGCACATCCTCTGTCCCTCGGAGCTTTCGACACCTCGGACTGTTTAGAGAGAGAGAGATGGTACCTTTTAAAAAAGTTTTCGTCTTAATCCCAGTCGGTTAAGATGTCCAGGGCCCCCTCCCGTTCTAATTCCCAGCTATCTCCCGAGGACTCTGTTTATACCTCGCCAGTAAACGCTGGGGTTTGAAACCTTGTCACTAATTGAGTGCTAACACTTCAGGTGCTATAGATTTGTTAAGAGCCAGTAGTCCAGAAATAGCCTATTAGGGTTTCCTTGCGAGAAGCGGTGCCAATCTCCCGCTTCCCACCGTGGCGCCGGGAGCCGCCGGGACCCCGGGATCTCTGCGGCTCCCCGAGGGCTCCCCCGGCTCCTTTGGGCACTAATTCTTTCCAAGCCATGGGGAAGGGTGCTGAGAACGGGCCAGCCCTGGATAAATGGATGCTGCCGTGCGTGGCGGGGTCCCAGCGAGGCTCCAGGAGGGCCAGCGGGGGCGGCTGGGGCCAGGGAAGGTTTTGCTTTCACTCCTTTGGAATTCTGCAGAAAGAAAAAAAAAAGGTTTCGGAGCTGTCCAGGCACTCCACCGCAGCTCAAACTTCCTTTCCTTCCTACCTTTTTTTTCCCCCCTCTTTAATTTCCCCCATTTTAAAAATAGTTTTTTATTCTCTTCTTTTCCCTCGGTCCTTTCAAGCTCTAAGGAAGCTCGCCTTTTCCGGCCGTCAAAAAAAGAGTTTGGACCTTGGGGCGAAGCCGGCCTTGGAGAGGGGCCTCTCCTCTGCCCGGTGCCCGGGGATCCCTCCGGGACAGGGCCGGTACCGGGCGGCCCCTGCCGGGTCCCGGCCCACCCCGAAATGATCCTGCCCCTTCCCTCCGTGCAAACCGGGTGCCAGGGCACAGCACGAAGCGCAGCAGCCGGACAGCAGCTTTATTCCTGCTGTCTTCCCTTTATTCCCGGCGGATCGGGGCAGAGCCCAGCTAAAACCTCTCCGGTTTGGGCACCCCGGCCCCGCTCCCGGGGCTGACCCGGTCGCCTCTTTCCGCCCCCGTCGGTGACTCGGGTGGGGTGACTTGGGCAGCAGGACTTGGAGAGCAAATGCCTCCGTGGAGATTCCCCTCCTGCCCTGGGCTCCGTGCCTGGAATCTGACAATTCAGTGGTTCTTGCACCTCGGGCGCTGGAAGTGTTTTCCCCCCGCGGCTGAAGCGAAAGCAGGGAGCTGGGCAGATAAATTAAAAGCTTTCATTTTACCCTGCCTGTAACTTTTTTTTTTTTTTTTTTTTTTTTTTTCCCCTGCTTGTAACTGTGCTGGGTTCGCTGGTGAACAGAGAGCGATGGGGGAATTCTCCGACCTTCCCGTCGCCCTCTCCCCGTCCCCGGGCAGCGGCCGCGTTATTTGCTCTGGTTTCGGACCCGCCGGTTTTCTGCGCTCCAGTAAAAGCTTTTTTACGCGTCCAGGTAATCCCCAAAGCGCTTGTTCGTTACGTTTCCATGGGGAACACGCTCAGGGCAAGTGTTTTTTACCGTGTTTTTTAGGGACGAGGAATTAAACGACCGACGAGACTTTGATGTGACAATGCTTTGTCACACGCGTCCCGCGGCCGGGGCGCACCGGCGTCCGGTGATGGACAGGAAAACAATTTGAAAAACGAAATACCTTCCGAGCATTGGAAGTCTGGGCTGCTTCGAAGGACAAAGCTCTAAACACGGCGGGGTTTGTTCCCATCCGCCTCCCCCGGGCAGAGGTGTCCCACCGGCTCCGGTGGGAGCGGGAGCGGTGCTTGGCCGGGAAGACTGAA